CATTTACTTGAGTATTGTACTTAAGTACACTTTTTGAGTATCTGTACTTTACTTGATTAGTATGATTTTTTCTGGAAACGTATAACTTTAAAGCAGCACTATGTAACTTTTGGCGCTCTAGCGGTTAACATACAGAACTGCACACATCCGATTTTGCTAAATTGTGTAAGTGAAAATATTACCTATAAAGCCACAGAAGAACTGTTGTGCGTCTCCTAATAAAACACAAAAGGTGTTTGACTGAAGCAGCACTGCACAGACCATTCTGTGTATGGATGTATGCATGAAAAGTAAAGCGAGAGCGAATAGACGGCTTTTTTTTTTATTTTTTTTTTTATGTCAAATAAGTCTTGCTACAGTTGTGTTGCTGGGTTTTAAAGCAGGTTGGATTTTTTATTTTCTTCCTTACCAGTCTGTATACAGCAATTTCACTGTCCACTCTGTTCAAATGTGGATGAATGGTTACACATAGATGTGTCCAGAGCTGTGTGAGATCACTACAGGGGGTATCACTTTTGACACTTTTGAAATCACTTTTGTGGGGGTGGGTAGAGTTGTTAAATAATAATTTTTTGTTTTGTTTTGTTTTTTCCCCATAGGTTTTTAACATTCTAAAAGCTCTTTATTCCAAAGATACTACAAGCTAGTCAGTGTATTCAGTAGGTGTAATGTATTGTAAATTGTGTCAGAGGTATTGCAAGTATTACATACAACAATAATAAAACAGTGCATTGACATAAATAAGGAAATGTACTTTTGTTACTTAAGTACTTTTAAAAGCAAGTACTTTACAACTTTTACTTGTAATGAGTAATATTTGACCAGGATCTGTACTTTCACTTAAGTAATGGAGTTGTGTACTTTGTCCGCCTCTGATTAAGTGTCAAAACTTTTCATGGGGCAATAGGCTGTTTTATTTAATTTAATTTATGGTTTGACAAAAATACCCCAAATGTCTTAAAAACATAAAAAATGCATTCTAGAAAGGTTTGTTTCAGAGTTAAATTTAATTTTGTGTGAGTTTTCCAATATACTGCCATCATTAACACACTTAGAGGTGAGGTGTATAAGTGCATTAAGGCTATGTTTAGTTCAGATGAGGTAAAACGTGATGGGTGAGACTGTGCCATAGGGTATCAAGGTAAGTATCTTGTAGCTTTTAAAAGTATCTTGCAGTTTTCAGTTCATATATATTATTCTGACAGTTTTTGGCATTTTATTAAGTAAAATGCTTTTTCATGCCTTTTTTATTTTTATTTTTTCAAGGTCTACTTGAGAATTTTTTCCAATTTTTTTTTTTATTTTTATAAATGTAGACATCATATATATTTAACTGATATTAGTTTAGGGTAGAAGACTAATATTAGCTATCAGTTGTTTAACCTAAAACATGAGCATAAATATTACACAGAAATATAGGCTGAGCAGATGGTTTGTAACAGATGCTAACATACTGTAGCAATAGCATTAGCACTGTTAACATAGTGGTTAACAGACAGCTGCATTTATGCTTTATGCAGGTCTATGATTAACATTAATCTGAACTGTTGTTTTAGCATAGCGGTGCATGACCCACTATTGGTAACTGTTGTTTGAATCTAAGAGCATGTGTATACTGCTGTTCAAACAATGATGGTCATCGTATAGCCTAAACTAATCTCAACAGATTATTTAAATAACAGAAAACATTTTGTTTTCTCGAACTTGTGAGCTAATCTGGTAAATTTTCTGTTACAGATCTCATTGTTAAAATGGTCCAGCAGAACATGGGAGGAATCAAAGGGAATGATTACAAAAAGGTGTGTGTTTGGTTGTGCTAGGGATTTTTGTGCCACACTGTATATTATATATGTATGTAGTATGTATTTTATATAACAGTTTAAATGAAATCACATGCTCCAATCACAGTTTTTTTCTCTCTCTTTATCTTCGACATGCACACTAATGATGTCTCTTCAACGCTACGGCAATGCAGCCAGAGAATGTTGTATTATTTCTACAGGTACTGGTTAAAAATGAAAACTCTAGAGATTTATGGTTTTTATCTCACAGTTCTTACTTTTTTTCCTCACAATTGCAAGTTTATATCCCCCAATTCCATATTTTCTACTCAGGAGTTAAAATCTTGTAATTCTGACTTTTTCCTTGAATTTGTATCTCACAATCTTTTCTTAGAATATCGAGTTTATATCTCACAATATTATAGAATAGGGAGATATAAATCCAGAAATGCAAGAAAAAAGTGAATTGTGAAAAAAAAAGAATTGGGAGGTAAGTCACCTTAATAAACGTACCTTTTTATTTTTCATCTCCTATAGTTATTCAAAGTTACTGATATTTATAACTAAATATATAATGTGTAAGTTGTATCTGAAATTCCACGCTACAACATTTGGAGCTAATCAAGCTTTGCTATCTTCATTTGGGGGCTTTTCTCAACAGATATCAGTATATACTGTAAGATTATTTGTGATTAAATGCTCTCCTCCTCTCCAGGCTATCTTCTATGAGCTCGGCTTCATAGTCCTGACAGTACTGGGGGTGATATTTGTGCTGTTCATGCCGATAGTGGGCTTGTGTTTCTGTGTGTGCCGCTGCTGTGAGAACTGTGGGGGTGAGATGCATCAGAGACAGAAGAAGAACGGCGACTGCCTACGAGGCTTCTACATGGCCACACTCATCGCTACCTCTGTCTTCCTCGCGTGAGTCTTCTTCTACAGTGTTTGTGACTATTTATAACAGTTTATACATTCCACATGCTTGTGAAAGTCAATTGTTATAGATGAAAGACATAAGTTACTAATGTCACAATCTGTGATGGCGAGGAACGATGGAGATGAGGAATAAACGAAACAGTCTTTAATCCATGGAACACAGGGTACATCAACACTGGAGACAGCAGGAAACACATCAACGTAATGAGTAGAACTGACAGAGACAGACTAGGACTTAAATACAAGGGATGATTGGGGAAACACAGGTGTATGGGATGACTAATCAAACTAATAACAAAACAAGGACAGGAACATGACCAAATAAGGGAACTGAAACAGGGGGAAAACATGACACAGACAGTCCATGATCCTGACATTACGCCCCCTCCCGGAATTTGTGTCCTTGCACCGTAGCAACAACAGAGGGAGGCATGGGTGGGGGCACTGGGTCGGGAGTGGAACTGTGTGTTCTTCCACAAAGGCGGCGAAATTCGCTCGAGGACCATTTTCGGACGACAGCGCTCTGCACGAGATGTTTAAACTGGCATCGTAGAATGCACAGAGCGCGTCGTCCGGGTAGCTGGTGGTGCTTGCTAGCAGCTGGAACAGTCTCGTATGGTCCTTGAGCGCTCTTTCCCCCTGCTCCAGCAGGAGGAGGAGAAATTCCGGGCAAAGGAGGGCATCCATGAGGGAAACACAACGGAAACAAAAACACTGCGAAAAATGAGAAAACAAACAGAGGGGAAAACACGGAGGTAACTGTTTTTGGTCGGTTCTTCTGTCACAATCTGTGATGGCGAGGAACAATGGAGACGAGGAATAAACGAAACAGTCTTTAATCCATGGAACACAGGGTACATCAACACTGGAGACAGCAGGAAACACATCAACGTAACGAGTAGAACCGACAGAGACAGACTGCACAGAATAGGACTTAAATACAGGGGATGATTAGGGAAACACAGGTGTATAGGATGACTAATCAAACTAATAACAAAACGAGGACAGGGGCAAAACATGACACAGACAGTCCATGATCCTGACAACTAATTATGAATTTGTTCAAATTGGCAAATATGTAGTGATGAGATTATTGTTTGAGATTATTGGCACCATCCAATAATCGGTGCCAGTGTGTCAATTGGACAGCCTTGTTAGTGGAAATGGATATAAAAATAGTAAAATAAATAAATAAATAAAATTCAGAATTTAAATTCAGAAATTTTTGTGCATATGACATGCTATAAATAAATATTATGCATAAGTGTTCATACATTTTAATAGTTTGACATGACTTTTTGCGTACTTTGTAGCAGAAAAGTACACGTATTTTAACACAGGGTGAGTCATGTGACATTTACAGCTCAGATGTTTGGTTCAAAGGAAGATGGCAGATCTGAAAAGGAACTCTATTTGACAGCCTTCTCCAGTTATTATAGACCAGAGACTGTAGTGCAGTAGTGCAAGGTACTGTTCCCAGATTATATCACTGAATATTATAACATAAATAAATATATTAAATATTTTATACAATATGTATATCAATAATTTGAATACATTATTTATGAACTATTAATTTAAATATTTATTAATATAAATTAATAGTAATAGTAATTAAATTACAATATACCTCTCAAATGTTTGGAGTTTTTTTTTTTCAAAAGAAATTCATATTTTTATTCAGCAAGGATGCATTAAATTCATCAAAACTGTTCCTATTATCTCTCTCATTCACTCAGAAAAGAAAACAAATAAAAGTGGAGTATCCACTATTATATAAAAATATTAACATAATAAAATTATTAATTTACTTATATATTTACATTACATTTATAATTACATTTAGTCTTTTAGCAGACGCTTTTATCCAAAGCTACTTACAAATGAGGACAATAGAAACAATCAGAACCAACAAAAGAGCAATAATATGAAAATAATGCGTGACAAGTCTCGGTTAGCCCAACGCAGTACATGTAGCAAGGATTTTTTTTTTAAATAATAAATGAAAAGAAGATCGAATAGAAAAAGAATAAAGAATGCTAGTGATAGAGGGCTATTTTTTAATAAATAAATAAAAAACAAGTAAAAAAATAGATACAATGGAAATAAAATAGAGAGTGCTAGTGTTTGAGGGTCAAAAGAAGATGGAAGAGATGTGTTTTTAGCCGTTTCTTGAAGATAGCAAAGCTGCTTGAACTGCTGTAACTGATATAACATTATACATAATTAATAAAATATATAATATGTAATTGGTCAGACTGGAAGTTCCGCCTTACAGCCAGTCACTTGTTTGTTTACTCTAGAACATACATGTGCATTTGCTAGACAGGCCTGAAAAATTTGGAGGCACATTGATATCATTGTTGTCAGATTTTATTCCTGTTTTGAAATGTTATTTAAATGTTTTTTTTTTTTTACATTTCTGATTCAAACTGTATTATTGAAATACTTTTTGAAAGACACATACTATCTAAGCACATATACGTATATAATCAAAGTAATCATTGATCAAATACAGTATATTATGCATTGTAAAGAATACGTAAAATATTTTTAAAAATATGCATATTGGTAAATAATTGTGTCGCTGTGTGTGGGCCAGTTTGTGTGCAAATGTGAACAGTGATTCTAGTTAAATTACATTAGACTTCTTTAGATCTAGAAATAGAATTGAGGTCAGGTACACTGAACCACCATCATCCTCTCTCTCTCTCTCTCTCTCTCTTTCTCTCTGTCTCTCTCTCTCTCTCTCTCTCTCTCTCTCTCTCTCTCTCTCTCTCTCTTTCTCTCCTTTATGTGATAAACACAGGCTGTGCTGCTCCACACTAATTTAGCTTTGTCCAGGCTAGTTACTAGGCCTGTGTGTGGTTGTGCAGCTGTGTTTTCTGTTTTCTGTCACATTTGGATAATTATTAATTGATAACTGATACTGAAAATTTTAGGAGATAAGAGATAATGATTAGAATAAATAAGAGACATTTTGTGCACATAGTCAATCGGTTGTGTGCACCGTTGCTAGAGAGTGTAATGAACACACCTGCAGTGGTCTAGAATGACACACACACAGACACATTCACACATGTGACATTGATAGCCCTGAGTCTGTCCAGAGAGAAAGTCCCCTCTTTATTTCTGTACCCCATCCCCCTCTTTCTTTCTGCCTCTCTTTTTCTTTTCTGTCTTCTTTCTGTGACAGTGCTGAGAGCAGTTGCTTGGGTCACAATGAGCGTTTGTGAGGCATAGACTGTACTGTGTGTGTGTGTGTGTGTGTGTGTGTGTGCCTTGATGGACTTTCAATGACTTACTGAGAGGTTTGCAGTAATTGTGCAGTACGAGGCCTGGGAGCAGAGAACATGACTGTGCAAATCTGCTCTATTTCTTTCTTCACTCTTTACTTTTTCTCTCTCTCTCTCTCTATGGCATCCTTTGTTGAATCACATTTCCCCTTTATTAAATCTTTTTTTTTTTTTTTACTGAGCGAGAAAGAAGGAGTGAGAGACAGTGAAAGAGGAAACGGGAGAGTGGGGGAACGGGGAAGGAGGTTTGTCTGACAATAATCTGTAATCAGATCCCACAATTTAATATGTATCTGCACCACTCTATTAGTGTTATCTATAGTTTGTGGCTATGTGAGCACCACTGTATGTGTATGTGTGCATTTACTGATTCACCTAGTTTTGAGTTAAATGTGACATTTTAAGATGCATATTTTTATGTATATTTATGTATGATATAATTTAATACATTTTATCATTAAAAGGTTTAAGGTTGATAAATGGTTTTTAATGTTTTTGAAAGACTCAGAGAATTTTTTGATGATTCTTTGAAGAATAGTTGAATTTTTTTTATAATATTATAATATATATATATGTTTGTAACAATGTAAATGTCTTTGTCAGTTTTGATCAGTTTAATGCATCCTTGCTGGATAAAATAATTAATTTATAAAAAAAAAAAAAAACGTTCTCAAACTAAACTTTTGAAAGGTAGTAAATTTAAATATTTTATAATTACAAAAATACATTTATTATTCTTGTAAATATTCAAATTATTTTTAATTAACATTTTCTTTAAATTATTTGTATATTCCTATATGATAATTAATAAATGTATTATATAATATTGATTAAGAAAATCTGGGAACAGTATACCTTGCTCTACTGCTCTGTCGCCAGGGAGGTCTATTTGGAGAAAGCATTCAGTTAACATCCCCATTCATATCAATGCTGTTGTTTGGCTATAGTGCAGAACCTTGTATCTGAAATCGTATGTTTGAAATCTGCCATCTTGGTTCCAGGCTTTGTTGAACCAGTCACCTGAGCTGTAAATGTCACAAGTCTAACCCTCCCTTCAAATATGTGCACTTTTTAGATACAATGTAAAATGTCATATGCCAAATTAATAGGATGTCTGATATCTCAGTATTCATGATCTAGAAGTCGAACAAATGCCCAACTTGGAAGTGTGCAGCCAGTGGTTACTTTGCTTTCCCATAAAGTCATAGGGGGGCTACGGAGCCATCAGAGTTGGAGGATCTTTTCAAACGTAATGTTGATTGGGAAATATGTAAAAAAAAAAAAAATTTGAATGGTGAGAAAAATTATATTTGTGTCCAGATGGTGTAGTTTCTACAAGGGGCTAACAAGGCCAAGCTAACTGTACCCTAAACTTAATCCTTGAAACACTCAAACAGTTAGGCTGTTCATAACATGACAACAGTACCACACTGTGGCCGTCTGATATTACTGCATGTCACTGACAGCAATATACAAAGAAGGCACATCTGAATTATGAATATCTACTGTATATTGAAATCACAAACTCCCTCCCTGAGAGTGTGTAGTGTTTACATTAAATGTAATTGGTGCACTGGGTTTATTGGTGATAGATAAGACTGTCTAATTTACTGTTATTCCAAAATCTTAACAGACTGTCATAACAATACTTGTAAGCACATTATTTTAAAGGGGTCATATGATGTTGCTAAAAAGAACATTATTTTGTGTATTTGGTGTAATGAAATGTGTTTATGCGGTTTAAGATTCAAAAACACATTATTTTCCACATACTGTACATTATTGTTTCTCCTCTATGCCCCGCCTTTCTGAAACGCGTCGATTTTTACAAAGCTCATCGGTCTGAAAAGCGAGGTGTGCTCTGATTGGCCAGCTATCCAGTGCGTTGTGATTGGCCGAATACCTCAAGCGTGTGACGGAAATGTTACGCCCCTTACCATACTGTGATGATGCCCTGTCAGGCCGGAGCGATGAGACAAGAACATTAAAACCCATTATAAACAAGGCATTTGTTGCATCCAGTGGGGACATAATTA